CTACAAGAGGTATTTCAACGAGGACAGACTCAATAAGGGTATTATAGCACAACTAATTTGGCTGCAAAACTCCTATCCTTTAACATAGCCAAGCTAGGGGGGAAGACAGGTTGCCAATGCTCCGCACTCTCAACTGCATACATCGATCTCGGTGTGATTGTGGAAACAAATAAATAAGTCTTATGAAGAGACGACTGTCTATTCACGTGATGGAAAATTCACCCGAATAGTTAGAAAAGCTGAAGTCAGAGTACGAATAAGGTCAATAACAAAGCATTTTATATACACTACACTACTCGGTCAAGTCATACACTGCTGTCACCAGACAAACAAACGGAAGGAAGCTACTTTGCAAATCCAGTAGGCTTGGATGTAAGACCTCTTTACAGCCACAAATTGCAGGGAATTAAAGAAACAAAGCAAAACTTTGTACTCGAATGTATCAATAGTCAAATCTTGGTGCTACTAAGACATCTAGCTTGTGACACCTGAATTTAATATCCGAATATACGACAAACAGGTAGCCAGTTTAGAACTTTTATCGTCATTCACGATACAACACAATTGAAGGAGATGGTTACGGAAACTCTAAGAACAACAGTTTTACTCCCATGACTCTTGGGTAGAGACCCTCGACTTCCAACAACTTCTACACGACCTCAAACCCCAACTGACACAACTAGGTCTCGGTAGCCTCAGGAAACAAAACCAGTCCGCACACAATAGGTGTGGCTCATTCACACTGGACGAAAGTATCACCACACAGAGTATCACCTGGAAAACAAACTTATCTAGCACTGAATGGTTTACAGCATCATCGAAAGAGTATTCCACTAATGTCTGTCCAAGCAAGTTCGCTGACAACACCGTCAGCTAAGAATGATGAAACCAAAAACTCCCTCACAGTACACTATATATATTGTTCTTGTACACAATCATACACGAGATGTGCAGTCCTATAATAGTAATGTTATACGGCTAGCTAAGTCATGCAACACTGTGGTAACATATCCTCAAGTTATTCGCTTGACGAAAGATGAGGACCCCATCGGCTATGCATTTTATATGTGGTGAAGAGTAGAGGCATGAGACCACTAACTTACTGAGAAACAGTGAGTAGAATCACTTTCCCCCCATTCTTCCATTTACTACCACATATCGTCGTCAATGTTTTCAATTTTTGATACGTTCATATATATAGCATTGCCACTAATACTACTTTAGATATCACATGCTTCTGCGATTATTTTGTAACTTAATTAATATGCATCGTGAAGACAGAACATTAGGCGCAATATTGGATAACATCCCAAACTTTATCAGAAATAATGTGTGGAATACAGCCATTGCTACCATTGTTATTATTACTGACGGGCTATTTCACTCACTTGTCACCAGCAACGAGCTCTTCACCAAACAGTGTGGCCAGTTTCACTCAGTTTACAGGGATAAACAGTTAAACACACAAAGAGCAATACTCTACAACAAACTGGCTTACCTGATCATGACCGTCAACATTAGCACGATCACCAACACTGCAATTAATTCCCACTTGTGAAGACTGATGGGATAAACCACAATACAAGATAATATCAGACCAGACATAATGAGTTAGCTCGACCAACTCGCAAACTACAGCCTCATCAAATTCAAACGGGAAATTCCCGTGGAAGTTCCCATCATAATTATCCAACAACTCATCGAAAAAATTCCTATCCTCTTGAACTTCTTCCTCTCCAATATATGGTAAGTTAGCCAACTCTTTCTCATCTTCTACAGAGAAATTCTGTTGAACCGTAGACCACATTGAGAAGCTTGGCAATGCATCCACGTGAGGGATTACTGTCACGGGTACATTGTAATTTTCATTGTTGATTCTAACACCAAAGAAAGTAGGCTTATCACACATAAGCGGAATTCGTATTGGTTCACATAATGAAACTGTATTGCCATCAGTACTATTATTATTATTATTGGCATGAAATGCTTTGTCCTCATCGTCATCACTAGCAACAGGAGCAGAGGACGCAGGTAACAGTTTCAACAGCATCTTCCTATTGCTTGTTAAACATTCATCTACATATTTCCATTTGTCTACTAGATTACTGAGTCGTATATAGTTGTACACCTTTCTAATCACCTTATGCAGGCGGTGACGATGTTCATTCAAAATGCTGTTATATGACCTAATCGAATCCTTGCTGGTAATAGTTAAAGTTGTAGGAGGAGGAGGAGGAGGAGTAATAGTAGTCGCCGTAGTAGTTTGCCGTCGTTGTCTCAATTGACGAGAAGAATATATCTCACCAACTAAACTGAATCTTCTGCTTCCTCTTCTTCCTCTTCCTCTTCCTCCACTTTTCCTAACAGCATTCTCAGTTTCCGAACGATACGATGATCGACGCATCATCTGTGGGAAACAATGAAAAAAAGTTAACGAACCAACTTGTATAAGCAAAGACTGAGTAACACAGCAGAAACAAGTGACCATGAAAACTCATAATCACACACACACACACACCACACAATTCAGGTCGTACAAAATACCTCTACAAAAAGCATATAAAACACTAGAAGGCTTCAAAACCTTCATTTCATAGTTTAAAACACGTAGTTCAATTGTTTTACAAACTGACATCTTACAACACACTTTCATTCATCCTTGAATACACAGTGTGTAGAAAATACACCATTGTCATACTCGGAATGCTAACCAGCCATACTCACAGGTCCAGAGGTTCAATTCCTCATCCACGAATTCCCAAAGACCTCACCTACTTCTTTACTACCCGGTAGGCAGTAAGCCTGGAAAAGCCAGCAACAAACATTTGACCGTGATGCAAGCAATCCCACCAACACCATAGCGACCAAAACTTTCAAACCTTACGTCGAACAGCAGCACTAAATGAAATCTAATTCGAATACGTTCGCTTCTGCCTGTGTGTCTGCACCGCGACTAGCACATATTTCCCGGACAAAAAGGAAAACACCTTGCTCGACCAATCTTTTCGTCAAACACTTCATAATCAGAGGATATATTTACGAGAAAGTAAGTAATGATATGCGCCCACGTCGTCACAACAAGCACACAACCAGTCATCCTCAAGACGACAAAAAAAAACAGTAAAATCAAGCCAACACTCAAACCGGGAAAGAAGTAGTGTTTGTTTGGTGTGAACGAATGTTTTATTGATAACTTTTTACATGACTTTTCGTAGGATGTTATAATTAGAGCAGAAAAAGTTGCAATATAGTAATAACAACAATCAAGAAACGCTTTCATCTTGACGTGAATATGGAAACTGTGATGTCAGTTGCCACTTCATAATACCATTCCTTGTCTTCAGTTTCCACAGTGTCCTTTACTGGCTGCTTGCCTTTCACCTTAATCAACAAAAATAGATAATAGAAATCAATCATAAATAGCAGTACACAACAAAAATCATTAAAAAGTAATGTTATCCTACCTCCTCTATTCTTCTGTCTAAATAAATGCATAGATACAAGTGGTATTCACAATCACACACGAGCATAAGTCGACTTCCACTTTCTACACCTCCATATAATTACAGACATATTAGGCTTAGCCATAGGTAGACTACTATGCTAGCATACATAGTTAGAGGATGAAATTTACTTTCGGCCTAATTGCTCTCCCCAACATCATTCGTCAGTTTAAGCATCTTCAGTGTCTGTCTAAAGTTAAACTATGTCTGAGGATTTTTCAATTATGACGTCAACCTGTTGACCATTTTGGTCAGGTAGTTAAACTTCAACTTTGCCATCGATGACATTCTGGAGTCAGCTCTGAAGGATGTGCGTGAAGGTGGTGTAGATCTGCTACCTGGAGATAGACTTTTCGACCTCGAATATGCAGATCATATCGTCTTACTGTGCGATAGCATGCAGGCTACCAAAATCGCACTTAATCAGTTGGTGATTAGTGCCTGTAAGTATGGTATGTACTTTGCACCATCTAAGTGCAAACTACTGTTACAAGATTGGCAGGAGCCTGTACCTGTGGGTGAACCGCTTGAAGTTGTTGATAAGTTTCTGTATCTGGGTAGTTGTGTGAGTGCTGGCGGAGCGGAGGAGTGACGGATGAGATTTCCAACCGTATAATGAAGGCTAAGGTGGCATACATCAACTTGAGCCACCTCTGGCGCCGTCGCAACGTTAGCCTGGCTGTCAAAGGTCCGGTATACAATGCTTCGGTGCGGGCTGTCTTACTCTACACCTGTGAAACCTGGCCTCTCCACGGCTCTGCCTGTTCGATCATCGCTGTCTCCACAGGATTACTTGCGTTCGATGGCATCATCGCAAGAGTAATTTCGAGGTTCGGCGGCGAGTCTTTGGACACAGTGGATATCATCACTCATTGAGTGTCGTCATCTGGAAACACAGACTCCTTTGGCTTGAATATGTGCTGTGAATGTCATCTCAGAGGCTTCCGTACCGGTGGTCTCTGTTCGCTAGCCCTGGGACAGGATGGAAAAGGCGGACGGCTGGTCAGTCCATGACGTGGCTTCGTCGGATGAAAGGTATTTGTGCTAGATTAGCATCGGTTGGTGTGTCACGACTCCCTCCCTGGTTGGGGTCCGCGAGATAGCCCGAATCGATGGCTCGAAACGTTATTGGATATGGCCAAGAATCGTAATCAATGGCAAACGTGTTACAATTTCCTTCTTTCTTCCCTTCCCTTCCTGATGATAGTTAACGAATACTGTTTGAACTTGTTAAACATGACTGTTTTCCTTCAAGATGAACTTCTCTATCCGTTCTCTACTTATATTTTTCACTTTTCATCGATGTTGTTTTATTATTGTTATTGTGTGGCGCATCTTTCTTGGTGCCGTATTGTACCAAGTTTTTTTCTGCGTTTGAATAAATAAATAATATACAGAGGCATCAATAGCAAAAAATAAGTACACTTACTGCATTACAACAGATCACTTTGATTTTCCCACTGGCCGACTGATTTCATCGCAATGCAGGAAACTCACTAGATTCATTCAATGGGCGTAAAGCATTTCTCACCTTCCCACCACCACCACCACCACTATTACTACCGCTAGCAGTACCAGTTTTCCGACTATTGTCCTTATCGCCTCTCTCAATCCCAACATATTTCAACTGTTCCATTGGACCATAACGATAGTCGAAGAATAGTTCTTCCCCCGGGAGAATAGCACGCTTGGCAAATATACCGATCCGATGATCACCGTTCGCCATCACCACCTGTAGACAGACAAACAATAACACAACTGATGGATCATATAACAAACAATTTCCCCCCCACACACACACACTCTAGTCGTACAGCACATAATGCCATCACTGTGAAGATAAAGTTATCGGATAAGAGGACACACGGATAGTTTACTTACTGATGACATCTCAAGCAGAATTCATCACTCCTCAGAATCACATCATATCAAGGCAAACTCTCATGCAATCCCTTCGCTACTTCCTTCATATAATAATAATTCTATTACATTTCTTATACTTTCATTTTATCATCCCTACTTACTTCACACATACACATACACATATACATTCGTTAGGGCACAGGGAGTTAAATTCACCTTGGAATGGAGTCACAAAATCCACAAGGAGAATTACCTGTCATGCTAGATTATAAAGCAAAAAAATCAACAGGAGAGGATAAACTGTGCCCTAGGGTTTGTGGAGAGCCAACCCACTTGTTAATCGCGACAGATACATAGACTGTGTGATAGACAGTTAATCAATATGATGTGACCTTCTTGTCGCGATTATTGCTCAATTTATCGTAACTCTCACCACGTGATGTGACCTTGAATGTTCTTTGTTGTCTGTCACTCTATTTGTGTGTACATGTAATTAATTGACTGTTCATTTTGTCCGTACCCTCAATACTGTTCGGTACGTTTTGTCCTTTTTTGAATGACAGTGGATTTGTACATTTTTCTTGGTGTAATTGTATGATTTATTTTATGTTTTAGAAACAGATAAAGTTTAGGTCAAGTCATTCTGTTTTAACTATAGCTAAGCCAAGACTCTGTGTCGTCAGTATTGAGGAAGGACTAAATCTGTAGGACAAAAATAATCCTACACCACTCTAATCTAATACACATTTCCACCTTAATTTATCTAAACACCCGTTATCGGTAAAGGCAGGCTCATCGAAAATGCTGAATAATAAATGAGGAAACCGATAGAAGATGATGAGCTGGTGTTTAATAACAATTCCATGAAATCCACTAAGGAGATTGAAAAAGCGCACAAGAAAAGGAAATGCAGCTATCCAACTATTGACCACAGCACTTTTAAGAGGAAACAGCAGTGATCCCATTTACAGGTTCACCATGTAGGCAAGGGACATCTACAACTAGAAGATCGGTGGGATACAATCAGATTATCGGAGAATAAGAATGATTCACCCCATGAATAAGAATTGTTTGCAAAGAAACTTACCAATTCTAATGCATACACTCATACACACACACAAACACACACACACACAATGCAGTCAAAGCGTCAAATCTACACACCTAACACGCAAACACCACAGATATACAAAATATTATTACCACTAAAATCAAAGAACACATAGAAATAATGCGATTATGTGAACAAAGTTTCGAAGTTACGTGATTGGCTACCCGCACATGATTATCAGCAGTGACAGTCTCCTCGAAACGTCATCCGTGTACAAAACTCTATCATCACTGTGTGCTGGCTGCTTTTATCAAATGCATATATATTCGACGACACAATAATTTACGATAATAACAATGATGATGATGATGATATGTGTGTGAAAACAGACCAATTGGACGAAAGAGTAAAATTTTTAAAAATCCTATGCACAGCACAGAGGCACATGAAAACGTCCCGTGAATTCACATATCTTACGTTAAAATAAACATATGACGCATATTATGTCTGATAAAGTTGTTGTTGTTGTCGTTGCCATTCCCGTCTTATCTTTCTTTTGTGGGCTCACGAAAGCAGAAGGTTTCTCCGGGACAACAACCTGTTGCATTCGTCGTTCAATCCAGTTGCCTACCTACTGCCCTCTATATTCGTTCTCAAACCCACCCCCCACCCCATATTACTATTATTATCCAAAGTTATAACAAATTCACTGACGTGTGGCCTTACAAATTTGACTTCACTTCCAAAGGGTTATTCTCTCAGGCACAACTGCTTTACAATGACACCTCAGTGTCTTCGAATACACCTTAATTGGCCGGAGACAAACAAAACTGTCGAATCAACTAGGACAGACTAGAAGCTACCATGCACAATTACATTCTCCTCAAGGACACTTCTATCACACAACATCAACGTCAACAGTGTACAGCCATTATTCTATATCACACTAGATTATTTCCACTAAACTCACTCAATCATCTTGAGTATCAAACACTGAAACATGCAAATACAACATCACGTAGAAGCCCCGAATACGACTGACTGTCCAGTGAAGTGTTTAACACGACACTACTCACTGGTATATACATACAATGGTTGACAGTATACTTTATCCACGGTGCAAAAACTAGATCGACAGTAACGGGAATATATGTGTGTCACAGTGCACGGATGCACAGGTTCCAAACGAATCTTCAGCTACACACACACACACATTCACTGTCGAACACATCCTATCATCATTTGATTACCAACGTTTACATAATAAAGTAAAAACATTTACAACATAACACACTTCATTATTACCTATCGTTAAAATCACTACACACAGAGACAGACAGTGAAAATAGATTTAGTGAGAGAAGATAATAGTCGTCGTTATGTTAACTAAGTCGTCTTCTCTCTATCTCTCACTCGCTGCTCTGTGTGTGTGTGTGTGTGAGGGGGTGTACACCTACCTAGTGTCTCCACCAAATTCTCAGATTCTCCTTCTTCCAGCCTCACCCCCCCCAACTCCACTCATTCTTTAAGTGAATCAGATGCATATTCAGACAACACGACTGAAACAAACACCGCGCACAGCAACAGACACACACACACACACCTTGTATACACATCCGCCATACGCAGCCACCGCCATTCAGCTACCTAGCTAGCTAGCTAGCTGGGAGACAGTCAGGATTCAACACATCATCTTCATCATTCTAAATGAATCCGACAGAAAAATCTTCGCAAAACTACTCGCATATATAAAGAAACACACAGGAAAGGTTTTAAAAATATATCAAACTATTTGGGGATCTTACACATCAACACACAAACACACACACACACTCACCCTTGCATAACAATTTGGATTAACCGAATGATTGGCGAATCGAATTTTATTACCCTTTCGAGTAGCATCCACAACAAACTCCCGATTAAGATTGAACAAGAAACTGCTCATTGTTTTATCATAAATTTTTCCTATTAGAAGGAAGGGAATGAGATGAAAACAGAATGAAAAAATGTTAAAAAAGTTGGTGCGACGATTATCCGCTGTTCAAGAACAATACTGCAATATGTACTTCCAGTCACCTTTCTATATTAACCTAGTGAATGACGGACCGACCGATAGCTGCTATCTTGACGTGGTGGTCGGGCTTGCACATCGCGATCACCCAACAAGCTACATTAGCTTGTAAGAATCTTTCTTACATAATGCTGGGGGTCTGAGGGCGAAGTCGTACTGCTGGGGAACAGGGGTGTGTAACAGCAGTGAGGGTTTCCCTCACTCAGATGACCAGCATGCCAGCCATCTAAGCTGTCTCTCCACTCCGGAGAGAGGGGACTAGAAAAGGTCGACCCCAAAAATTGTACATCCCGACTTACCCCACCTACGGTGGTCCGTAACCGGCGGTAAGTTTACTAATACGGAACCAATCCCAGAAGCCAGTTCATACAGGCCGTGTGTGATCGGCCTAAGGCAGTTGTCCCCTGGGCTCTGCAGTCACGCGATACTAACCCTCTCTCTCTCTCTCTGTTCCAGGTACCCGAAGAATCAATCAACTTCCACGGTGTGGGCAGTCGGGAAGTAACAACTGCCACAACTTCAAGACAACGAAGCCGGAGTGAAGTAGAGAAAGCAGCATCCAGCGATTGTTACCGTGGACATCAACAGTCTTCAACGAATACTACTACTACTACTAACACCGCTCACTTCGAAGAGAACAAATAACATGGACAGTTGTGGTGTCCTCATATCGCAAATTCACAGATTATTATTATTGTTATATAAGCACTGACGTGGTACAGGACACTAAGGGTACCACCACTTCATGAATGATTCTTCAAATGGAAGATTTCTACAACTTAGCTATCTTTACCCATAGATGTGTATCACCGTTCTATCTCCCATGTAAAGTTACAGAACATGATGAGTAATACTGACACGAGGTACACACACTGTCAGCTCAGGACAAAAAAATCAATCCAACACGCTGTAAAGATTCACATGGCTACAACATGTACGATACATGCTGAGTCAATGTATTCCTCCTCCTCCACCTTGTACAACGCTGACTGACATACGATTACATTCAAAAGGAATTACGAGTGATCAAATCAAAATCTCCCAATAAACCCACAAACTCTCTGATTGTTCGTTTCAGCTAGCCATGTAGGAAGCTAATATATACACCACCTTGACTACGGTCGTCAAGAAGTTAGAGAGGTAAGGCAACGAACAAACCAACTCCCTATTGCTCGCTGAACATATATGCCGAAGAAGGCGGAGATGGATCGGACAAACCCTCACACCATCGCTCAAGTGGGAACCGAACGAGAAAAGACGACATGACACATTCCATGGTCACATACACACATATGCAGGCGATCACGTGAGGCAAAGCAAATGAAACCTCAAGATCAATTGTGTAGTCAGCTAATGAAAGACTCCAGAAAACGAAGATCTCCGGTTGAAGCACCACATTCCCCACTCAGCAGTCAAGGGCATGATAATCACCATAAAAACATAACCATTTCCTACTTTAAATTATCACTTTCATTGATTTGTTAGTAAATAATAATAATAATAATAATAATAATAATAACCGCAGAGTTTAACAACTTACCACGCCGATCTGCTTCATCCTGGCTAATAATCTCACCACAATATTCGTAGATGAACTCATTCTTCTCGGCACCGTCTTTGATGAATATGCCCCAACTATGAAATATATGTGTGCACAAAAATTAAAACATTACATATGACGCTGTATATACTACTGATTCATTCATCGGCCGACATAAGTAGTGCTGGACAGCTACCTAGATAGCTAACTAGCTAGCTAGCTAGCCAGTTGGACCAAGGTGATCCATCTAAATATACACAACGGACAACCATTTCTCTCGTTTTCTGCATCTAAGTTCATTATCGATGTACCTAGTATTCACTCAGCTCATAGGGAGTCAAATCATTTGAAACTATCGAAAGTCTCCATAGCTAGCTAGCTAGCTAGCCAGCCAGCCAGCCAACCAACTAACTAACTAAATAATCGGGAGAACAACTTGTAATACATTCAACTTACAAATGGCAGATCTCATCTAAGCACAAACTACTAGTGTAACGCTGTCACTATTCTCTCTAGAGAGAGAGTACAGTTCGGCGTCCAAAGCTATTCACCACAGTACAATGTATCAAAATCTTACAGTTTATATTTCACCGCCATATCTCATATTAACTTCATACTTGATTTTACAAATTCACCTACTTATCAATTCTAAAAATATCTACCACTATTGTATTAAATTCTGTCTGGAAACCACGCAAAATATACACTCAGTAATTCTTATCAACATAGATATACACTGAATAATTTGAAACTGGACACCGAAGAGACCAATGGATAGTTTACACATCATCACTCTATATATATACACACACAAATACCCATCAATACGCCTATAGAAGCGCTCAAAAACCCACTCATTTCTCACCAACAACTTACACTTACAACCAAAGTAACACTAGAAGACTTCACATACCAACACTCCACCACCAATGCCTGACTTCTCTACATCACTTTAATTCCAGGGGAAAATAAACAAACAAACAAACTCAGGGTGCTGCCATGGGATCACCAATAGCACCCTACCCTATACTTGCATACATAATTGAGGATAGGTTGGAAAGCCTAGTCAATGAAACTTCCAGCATTTTCCACCTTCAAAGTGTGCTCGAGCTATGCACATCACACTTTTACAGTGCTTAACTAAACAGCAGTAGTGTGAGGCGATCTTTCAATCGAAGACTGAGACTTCATCGTCATCATCATCATCATCAACAACAACAACCAAAATTAAATTACACAATACAAACAACACTGACACTCTCTTACCCAGACACATCAGATGGCGCCATCAACAGATGCTTCCGCCAGCCTCTTTGTAACGCCACATTTCGACATGTACCGGTAACACGTGGTGAACTAATCGTTAACGCATTCAATAAATCCGTCATTGAAGAGAATGTTCCAAAAGAAGACTGTGCTCCACACGACACGCATATGTCGGGATCACATTCTCTAAAGGCCAAAAAGCAAGGACATAGTTTCGTATTACAGTGTCCACGGCAACGACATCCTGGAAACCTGAAGTAAGAAACCCAAAACAATATTTCAATTTTATACACACCTGACTCACTGACTGACTGACTGACTTATCCATTCAAAAAGAAACTGTAACAATCACTTCTTTACCATGACAACTCATCTTTTTTTCAAACCTAATTTATTATATCATCATCATCATCTCGTTCACCAACTATAATCGTTGATCTCTATTTTGTGTCATTTGTATGCAGCTGATAAAAGGTACCGACGAAATAAATCCTTACAGTGTGTGTCGATGATATTGCCTTGTACAATATTTCAAACTCCGTTCACACGTACACAATCTCACAAAGTTCGCGCTGCTTCAATAGCCGATCCTAAGGTTGGGAGTCGAGCTACCGATCCTAGACGAGAAAATCAACCCACTCAATACACAATCTTCAAAGCCAAATTAATAATAAAATTATTTTTCTTAGGAGTTGCAGAAACGGTATGACGCAAGTGGTGAAACCGTTCACAAATCCAGTCAGCTGATGTCTTCTCACAAAGAAGGCGAAAATGTTCTTACAATGTAACAAAGATCTGAATATGCTTACCAGGTTATCAAAGAAGTAGGGGCATATGGCATAGAAATGTTACGAATCTCCGTCAGAGCAGATGCAATCGAAGTGAACTCTCCACATTGTTAACTTCAGAGTCAACAATCTACTCCGGACATCTATACGACAACCACAGCACACTGAAGCAGTGGCTTTCATGAAGTCAATAACAGTATCTAAACCACTGGTACAGTTGGGCAACGTTTCCAGAGTGACATGGAAGACACTATGTAGTAGTGATGAGGAAACAAAAGCTTATGACCAATGGGAGAGTCAGCTAAACAAACAAAGCACACGACAGGGTGAAATGTCCAGTTCATACGCCACACATGCAACCCTACTACCCTGTCTTCCACTCCGTATTCACAACGAATAAGAAGAAAGGAAGAAGAACAGTATTCTCTTCAAAATTCAAAAATTTAAAGTCTACAATCCACTACGCAACACTAGACTATGTACTACACTCCACTTACAGTTGACTAAAAACAATCCCATTAAAACAGCCACTCACCTATTCCTACAATCAGGCGGACATTGACAAAATTTTTCACAGAATGTTCCAGCCTTTTTACACAAACACGACTCATCACATCGTTGACCGGGATGATCACACGGGTGATAATGATGTGCCGAAGGTCCAACCGGTAGAACACTATTACCATGATGTTGAGAAGCACTCGTTTGTGAATTCTCATCCTCGTCTATATACCAGAAAAGAAAGAAAACAAAAACAAACAATAACCATGTAGTATCATTACTTTTCATTATTATCCCATTTGGGTTCCAAGTGGAATATGGTGAGTGGTGTTATTGAATTTTACCACCACCAGATAGGTGGGCTTGAAATAGCCGCCTCACGCCAAACCATCCATTCAACCGCCTCTTCACGCGCTTACTACCCACATCAGTAGTAATAAACAACTACGTGAGGCCTAACAATGCATCGATGGTCAGGAATCGAACACCAGCCACCTCAGCATGACTGCTGAGCACTCTACTAATCAACCACCACTAGACACACAGATGCAGTAGCAAACACATGCCAATGACACAAGAGAAGTCATCGTAGTAATTGTTGTCACGAAAACCCCATGCCCCTACACCACTACACCTCCACCCTATCCTCAGGAGGAATTCAAATGAGAAGCCACCTTTCGACCATCGTTCTCGAGGCAACAGCATTGAGCGGACCATGTCAGCAGAGCGTATACGCTTCTATGTAGTCCTCGAGTCACCTGAGAATGACAACGAAAGGCAGAGTACAATACGAATGGGCTGCCGCTGAAGCCCTATGCTCTGCTCTGTTCTGCTCTACTAGGGATGCAAGGAATGAGTATTAACAATAATAAGAATTTAATACACAACAACATACGTAAGCGAATTGAATTTTAGAATTTCCCGTCGATTGATTGGACCGAAGTGCTCGGTCTCAGGTTGACATGCTGGCTTCTTGTGCAGATACTTCGACGATGTCTGGGCATGTAATTAGAAGTTAATTAATTGGTGGATGGTGACTAGCAGTGGAATCCAGGATAAAGCGCATTTCGTCCAACTTGGGATTCGTCACTGGATGCAGGTACAAATGTCAACCTGAGACCGAGCACTTCGGTTCAATCAATCGACGAGAAAATCTAAAATTCAATTGAATAATCAATATGACCCGTTGCACAAGAGGTGGGCGGCCCTCGTGGCTCAAGTGGTCTAACGGATAACGTTTTGGCGTTGGAAACTATGGGCACTTGGTTCGAGTCCCGGTGGGAACACCATCACTCACTGGGGAATTGAATGTAGATGCATCCAGTGACGAGCCCCGAATAGGACGAAACGCGCATCCTGGATTCCACTGCTAGTAGTCACCACCCACCAATGAAATATCCTGTTTCTCTAATAAAAGCTCATCAGGCTTCAGTCCAATATATATCGTCGCTCATACATTAACAAATGATTACTATTGCATAACAATAATAATAATAATCCTATTAATGACAAGATGAACAAGTGGAATACTTTATGATAACAAGAGTAATCGAAAACACTAAACAAATCTTCACACCAACCTTGTAAAAGATAAAGCCTAACGAAAACAAATAGTAAGACTACATAGTGCTAGATTGTAAGGGACGGGGGGGGCAGGAAATGCATTATGCTCTCATGAAGGTTCAATAAGAATAAGGATTGATATAAGATAGGCACGAATTTCGTCTGAATGCACACTTCAGGCCAATTAGTGATCAAATGGCATTGAGTGCCGATCATGGCTCGCAACATCAAAACACCTATCCTGTGAACACACACACAATTAAACGACCAGCCATTCTCTTAGGTGAACCATGTAAACACTCAAATTTATCTATTTACACACACACACACACACACACACACACACACTTTCTCTTCAGCATCATCGAAGTCAGTTCACAAGCACCAAATGAGGAACGACTTCAACCGCCACCGCCACCACCACCACCTGACCACTTACCTTCACGAGGAGTTGGTAACTTCAATACCATCCTTCTTCTAGCCTGTTTCTTGGCTCGTTTACGACGATATGTTGTTGTTGTTGTTGGTACACCATTACAACTACTTGATTCATTCCCCACCAACAACGCTTCATCACAAAACTCTCCATTCCCTTGTACACTTCCATTGCATGATCCTGCTGATTCTGCACAATCATAACCATCCAACGATGCTGTACTAGCCGATCGTTGACTCCATTCTTCACCGGTACCCGGTACACGCAACGTACTCAATTGACCAGAATCTGGCTTTAGAAGAGTTGGAAGATCCTGTGTATTTGTATATGCCAACACCTAAATCATAATAATAATAATAATAACAGTAGCAGTATTATTAATTATGATAATTCAACATATGGATAAAAGACGCAACACAAAGACAATATCACGATTTTATCAAGTCTTGCGATCACTTGGAATGAAACGTCCAACCTCCAGTGGATTTTAAGCCAACAGTCTCCTGGCTAACCAGTCAAAAAGTTACCATTCCACAACAAAGAAACCTATGAAATTTAAAAGTGTTGTGTTATCTATTCACTAGAAATCCGTAATACTGTTGTTCTTATTACTATTTTTTTATTATTGCCATCGTCAATATTCGTTACTTGCGTCCATGGAGAGAGACATACGAAGCCCTGTACTCTGAGCCCAGCCAGCTATCGATCGCATGTGGTATAGGAACTCTTCATTTCCTCCAGACATCATCGTCAACGCCTATGTTAACCACGCCTGCCACACAAGACCCATTCGGCTGCTCCAGTTCTTCAGGTTTCACTACTCGACAGCCTACTTGGTGTTTCAAGTCAATTCATAGTCCCCTCAGCGTTTCTTTCATCCACCCATCCATCCATCCACATATTCATATGCGCATACACCGCCACCATATCTCCACAACGAAGACCACATCGCCAACCAGGGTGAAGGATAACCACTAACAAGCACTTCTCGTAGCATACAAATGCTTCTGGCAACACGCCAAGTCTCCGAAGCATATAGGAGCACTGACTTAACACGTTACCTTCTCCGTGTTGTGTTCCGTAGATTCTCACAGTGACATTCCCAATGACCGATTCTTTTATTGCCTCTACATGCCAACTGGAACATAGGACAGCTTCGAGCTCTCAAAACTTCAGTAGCAGCTGTGTGTGTGTGTGCTTTTGTTGTCGCCGTCGTTTATACACCGTGGAATGGCTCCCTTCAACATCCATCGAATCTACTACTTTTCAGGGCTTACTGCTAGTCACGTCAAGACAGCAATCGATTGAGAATAGAACCCTAACTCCTCCACAGCGTGACTACTGACTGACTGACTGACTGAGCATTCATTCTACCATTCAACCAATGACGACGCAACGGCTTCATCACTATCATAAAATCAATGGAAATGACAACAGACAGGGCGAAGAAATGCATTCCTTTACAAATTAGCTCTGCATTGTCGGTTCAGTTTCACATCAAAATTTTGTTAATCACCTGATTGTTAGAAGTGAAATGAAAACGTGGTCAACCCCTTTCTGCAGACTATTTCTACTTGACAAGAAGCTATTCCAATAAATATGTCATCCGAGCCAACATTACTTCCTAGGCTATTCACAAAATTATATTATAGTAGCCGCAGAACCCATCATTCAGTGAGTAGACGCACACACACACACACACACACACACGTCAGTAACAACCACAGTCATAAAGTCAGCCAACATACTTTACAAGAAGAATCGAAAAAAGCCTATTCGAAAATGATCACACACATTTAACAGAAAACACTGAAGCATCAATAAACTCACATCACAACACTTTTTCGTTCCAAGTAATTTCGACAATCTACAGCACCAGTTGTATAAATTGTACGATGGATCTCCGTAAGGGATAAACAGTGGAGCTAACACTTCATATAGACATTTTTCATCATGACTCCATTCCACGTTGCTGGGTGCACGCGTTGCATCACATCTTTTATTAGTATTATTGTTATTCATTGAGTTCTGTCCAGCAGTGTCATTCACCGACTGGCGAACACACCATGAACCACAATATGGTCCATCCATTTCTAGAAATCACAGAGGTAGAGAAAAGGAGAAAGGAAAACATATATCAAGTCTGAGGAGAAATATTCCCTCACAAAAATCAATAAATTATAGCATTCTTATGATTGATATTATTTCCATTATGGATTAATTTCAATGCAGATTTCTTCTTGTGATAATCACAGAGGGATTAGCTTGACTAATATAGTATCTAAAATCCTAGGCTCAATAATACTGCGTAGACTAAGTGGTACTCGGGAGGCACAAACATGAGAAAACCAGGCAGGTTTTAGGCCAGGAAGAGGGTGTATTGATCATATCTTCACCCTTCGACAGATTCTAGAACATAGGCATTCTTACCGGCGTCCAACAACCGTTATATTTCTTGACCTAAAGGCGGAATTCGATTCTGTCAACCGAGAGGTTTTCTGGAGATGCTTGGCTGTAAAGGGAATGCCGAGAAAATACATTGCACTGATTAAGGAGCTCTACTCGTACTCATGCAGCCAGCCAGGTGAGGGCTTACGGCGAGTTGTCATCTGAAGTGGTGACAACTAGTGGCGTCCGCCAAGGATGCCCATTATCCCCATTTCTATTCAACTTCATCATAGACGTACTAATGGACTTAACCCTAACATACTTCAGAGGCTCAGGGATTGACTTGCTACCAGGGAATAATCTCGTTGACTTAGAATATGCGGACGATATAGTCCTTCTAGGCGAGGACGCTAACAAAATACAGCAGAGTCTTCTGAAAACCTTGGGCAGCAATCTTCGTATGTTTGGCATGCGATTCGCCCCTGTAAAATGCAAAGTGATGTTGCAGGATTGGACTACACCGACTCTTAGTTTAGAAATAGGAAGTGAAGTGGTAGAGAACGTTGACCGCTTCACTTTTTGGGAAGTCGCATCAGCCAGTGCCAACGGGTCGATCTCTGACGAAATCTCAGCACGAATACAGAGGGCTAGTTTTGCATATGCCAGTTTACGCCGTCTCTGGCTTAGTAGACGTGATATCCGACTCGCTATCGACCAAAGGGCGTGTGTACTGCTCAGCAGTCCGCTCCGTCCTCCTTTATGCCTGTGATTGAGACCTGGCCATTGAGAGCAGAAGACATGAAAAGATTAGCTGTCTGTGATCATAGGTGTCTGCGTTCTATCTCCTGTGTGAAGTGCTATAATAAGTTGAGCAATATTGAGGTTAGGCATCAGGCGAGTGCTAGGTAAGGAGGGGAAATCAATCGATGAGACTGTGAAATTACATCGACTGAGATGGTTAGGACATGTGTTACGTATGCAAGACTAGTCATTGCCTTCCTCGACAGACGGGCAATGTTAGCTGATATAGGGTCAGGCTGGAAAAGAGCTAGCGGCGGTCAAACGGAAACATGGCACCAGTCAGTGAAATCCACAACAGTTAGTCTACGCCATGTAGGAAGATGTAGAGTTCCTGACTGGTTGGGGTCCTCGGGACGGTAAAAACCAATGGTTGGAAACAATTGGTGACATGGCTCAAAGTGATCGTTCTCAATGGCTAACGCAGATGCATCCACTCCTTGTGACTTATGATTTCCAATAAAACTGTTTTGTTCTTCGTTATTACTATTCCTTTGTCTCACACCTCTGTTTACTGTCTATATTATGCATTTCTTCTATTCTTCTCTTGCTTTGTGTGCTACATGGAATGTGGCGACTTGAACTGACGCACATATGTGCAAAGTTCTATGTCGAAAACCGACCGACCGATCAATGCAGATTTCGTCACCAATCGACACCAGTTAGAGGGAGTCATTGAAAACCGGGAAACACTCGACAGCTGTTTCGCCGTATTTCCAATCCTCCAGTAATTCCCACCCACAATCCCGACAAAGATCGAATAATCTGCAACCTTCGAGTTACCGCCACCATATCAATCACTCCGATAAACACTCTCACTGACTGAGTCGGAGTTCAACGACCTGTCAATTACCCTTACACAGCTTTATCCTCAACTAATGCCATCGGCGACTATCCATCCATCTAACCCTAAAATGGCAGGCGTATCGTATCCCACTGGTCACTCCTTCTCACTCCACAACAATTTCATGGCATTTATCCGGTAGGCATATGTCCGCTGCAGATATGTTGAGATATATTGACACTGCGGTTTTTTGTTGCGGTTTGCATCAATTTCATTATAACTATTATCCCCTCGGTTCTTCACGAGTGGAACACAGACGTTTACCCATCCCGTGCACAACTCTATTTCACTCTCATTCTCTCCAATCTTATTCTATCAGCTCATTAACCCCACTACCAATCTCCATCAGCTTTCATTGCATCCACACCTCAAACCATCCCCTCCATCTCACCTTCGGACGAACATCCCACCTTACTAGTTGCTCACCTCCCGTTTCATCCATTCCAGTTCCACCCGAGAGCATGCTTCATGTGTAACATCAATCAAACATCTCCTCCGACTATGTCCAATCCATCTGTCCCCATTTCCCTCTGCATACTTCTTGGCCGATAGGTTCTTCATTACCGTGTACGTTGACAGAATTCATTCTTGCTTAATTATCTATCTATCCTTCACAGTCAGCCATTTCATATTCACTATTGACAAATACAGTCACCCAAATAACAACTTGCAAATCCCTATGAAGGCGACGAGGAGCCACAACACACCTATGGCATGTGTGTGTGTGCGCGCGCGTATGTCTGAGGGGCAGTGATAGTAACACCTACGGTTGCCCGAACCACTCTCGGTAGATGCAGTGATAGTTTAAACCCGTCACCCAGTTAGTTGGTGCACAGTCGACACTCTAAACCAATGAGCACCACAGATCCACTCACGAAGATAAAGAATCTGCGGTATATACATACACTCACATGTCGTTCATAAATCATACCCAATCTATAAATACACGACTCTCAAACTCAGCTCTTTTCATATCATTTAAAGCAAAATATTCCAATGAGAGGACGGAACAAACTAAGTAGCACAGAAGAAAATTCAGTGACACAAAGTAAACGGGAGACTATCAAAATAAAAATGAAACCATCATCAGGTCAAACACGTATGCTGAATATATACACACATGCATTTGCTGTCGTTGATGGTGATTGGTGCTTGTTGTTGTGTGTCTAGTGAGGCAGATTCTTTCTACTCGGTGGAGGGAGAAGGATTCAACAAACTCCTTCTGAACAAAGAATTTCGGTTGATAACGCTCAATCGTAACTCCCCTACACCTATGCTTAGCAATCCAAGGCGTACCAATCCAAGGAATTCAAGTGACACCCTCAATAGAATTGTAGGGGTTGGATTTTTATCAGTCTTCTCCTTCACCTTATCTACTAGGCGTGTCAATATCTAGTTTCACCTTTGACAACCTTCAACAAGGCCACCATGAGCTTCACGAGTCTTTCTGCCTATGTAACTGCCTCCACGAGAACACTTCAATTTGTAAGTCCAGCACCCTCAAACGACCAAACCCGTTAGCCTATCTATCCTTCTCCTACCTGCATTCAAACATAAACATTCCTTACTCCTGCACCCTGCATCCCTTGTAAGCATTTCTCTCCATCTCTTCTCGTCATAGAGACTTTCATTCTACTAACCACATTAGTTTCAAATGTCCAGGATTAACGTCTCATTATGGAAACATAAATCCTGAGATGAGAGATTACCGAAAACACGCACTTCCTTAGATTGTGAATGTTGATGAACACACACACAGAGTTTCGGTAGGTGGAGCAGGGACAGGGTGGTTGGTTAGCCGTAGAGGAGCAGTAATTCAAATGACATTTAAAAATCGAATTCATCACTAACCGACATTCGTTTTTCCATTTACCGGCCAACGATGGCTCCACATCGACGGCGTAGACTTATACGGATGTAGGCAACAATCATACTTGAAACACCGACGACAAAACAATGTCCGATAGGAGTGTAAAGCATCACCTCGTGAAAGGTTTTTATGTCGACCACTGATCACCGCATTGTGCACCTCAAAGGGATTGTCTAGATTTGGACAAGGCATCGGCGTCTCCTCATTTGACTACAACACAAGAAATAACACATTTTATTGATCCAAACGCACGCACACACACACACAAATTATTGGCAAAACTTACACAGATGTAATCAATGAAGAAAAAACACTAGAACCCCGTAATTTCCTACCTCCCTCAAACACCGACTAAACAAATAAACAATATTGCAAATGAAATAAAATAGACAATGTTGAAGCATAATATCCATCCACTCTATTTCCTTGGCTCCCAACAGCTGCAAACAACCCCCCCCCCATAACATCCAATAAAACGAGTTATAATACAATTTAGACAAACATTTCCTGCATCATCAATGACTGTCGTAAGAAACACTGATGATTGCGTAACGAGGGATATTAAAATACAATCACTGGAATTCACAACATTCCAGAATCAAAATCTCCTGTGTACGAAATTAAATGGAATGATGACGAAATACAGTGATGAGTAGAATTCAAAGGATAAGCGTGTAAAACCTTCTCATACCTACCACCCAGTTACACACACGTTCTAGTGTAAACAAGGTGGAACTTCAACTGTGGTGACAGCTGTCTACTAGCAAAATTGGTAGACAGTAATTTACGTCAATGTTTACGTCCTCAATATTGGTCGTGAGAAAAATAAGAACAAAGACTGATTCAACAACCAACCACAGCAGACTTTACGTAGGCGGATACGGTTAGCATATAGATGATCTGACATTCAAGAAACAGCCACAAAGAGACGAAAGATTAACTTTCAGTGAGAAACAACCAATCAGAAGACTGTGTTTGTTTGCTTAACTAATCTATAATAATGTACATGAAAATCTATAAATATGTGTTGATTTCCTTTATAAACGATCTCTTGCCTGACCTTTGTCTTCTGTTGTTACACAACTACAAACCAACTGATTTAGAGTAGAGTGCTAACACCAATCACCAAGCAGTCTTCCAACTCAGGACATGCATGAACAACATTGTTTAATGGTGACTCCCTCTCCGACGTC